CCCACAACAACAACAAATATTTTTTATAAAGGCTATAGGTCTCAACAACAACATACTCAGTGCATTCCCACAAGTGGGGTCTGGGGAGAGTAGTATTTACGCAGACCTTATCTCTACCTTGTGAAGGTAGAGAGGATGTTTCCTGTACACCCTTGGAAAAGATGGAGAAATGATTCCTATAGGTCTCTTTAAAGGAAAAGATGGAGAAATGATTTATCTGATTATGTCTTTTTATAATTTTCAGGAGACGACGAGGATTTTTCTTCTGCACATGACAAGATAGTAAATTGTGTAACAGCAAGCATTCACATAGCACACACAACTGATATTATTCAACAGCAGAAGAACTTGATTGATTTTTTCTTAATTTCACTTTCACCTAACTTTCCATGGGCAGGTATGCCCCTCGTAACATTCTTTATCCTTACCAAGAGAGTAATAGTTTTCCCTGTCCTGATATGCTTGTTTCCTTTCTGCAGTTAAAGTGTCTGTTTTTTCCTCAATTAAGGAGCTATGCTCAAAGCTGCACACAGAGACTGTTAATTCTCAGGATACTTCTCAATATACCAGCATAATTGCTTTTGTTCATGAGGTGATTCATATCCCAAAGTTACATTTATGCCCTTACTAGTGTACCTGGATTCTAATTGAAATTCTTCTGTCACTTCCAGTTGTTCTGCAAAACCTCTGTGAAAGTACTTGAAATTATACAAACAGTAAAAATTGCTCAGGTATGTCATCTTCACTATACTGTTAAGCTTATCAGAAAGAAAATGCATTCCCTTTTCAGATGTGTCATTAGTATTATTTCATCTCGTCCACTATCTACACCTGATTGTCCGCTGTTACATTGAATGGAGCTCTCTTCATGTTGGTGTCTCTTCCTACCGTCACTTTTTTCCAGTTGCGAATTGCGATATCATTCTCCTCACTTCACCAATTCAGCTAATTTTCCCTGCTGGTTAGAATCAATTAAGAATAGATCGCTGTTGTATACTTGTTTCTCAGCGGTCCTATCTTCTGGTCACCCAATCTTATTCTATGGTGATAGAAGTTAGTAACCTTTCTGTGGATTTGACATCCTTTCTGATCCCACAAGGTTCCCACAGCATGCATTTAGCAGTTTCTGCATTGGAACAGAAACGTGAGTGATGCTGAAATGAACTCTGATTTCATCCTCTATTTGGCAAAAGCTCAATCAGGTTATAGCAGACATTTTTATGACTAGTATTTGCAATCATAGAAATTTTTTTCAAGGAAAAGGTAAGGATATCCTGTGGTTTCTTGCTCAGTTTGTTACGTCTGGGGGTGATATTTTCTCAATCGAGTAGTTATATTTTTATTTTATTGATATTTGATTGTGCACCTAAAACATTCTATCCGTGCACAAACTCAGGTTCACATTGCAGCTTCAGAGTGCCTGCTGGAAATGGTGAACTTATTGAAAGCTACTGGACAATTGCCTGGTGGAGAAGCGGCAGTCAGCCGCGAGTTTGTGCAAGTCTATGATGTGGAAAAGAATGAGCATGCCAAGTCTTTGCTCAAGAGATGCATTGACATCCTAGAAAACCTCGAAAAAGAGCACAAAGTTTCAAGTTGAATTCAGTGATAATATCTGGACGACAGGGATACCCTTGGCACGGAATGCAGAACCCATTGCAGCTGCATTGAATCTGCTAGAGGCTGCACTCGCCCATGGGGAAGAGAAGATAGGTAGCTAAAAACAAAAATTGAAAGTCAAAAGATCTTGAGCTTGTCAAGCAAAGCTGAACTCTACTATACTATAATGTAATGACAAGTCATTTATTAATGATTATTATATGATTGCATGGAGATCAATCATGTAACTTCTAATTTTTTGAGTCAATGAAATTTCTAATGATCTCTTTTTGTTGTACTCATCATTTCTTTTTTGTTATTTTCAGACTATTGATCTTGAACAGTCAAAGTTTATGATTATTTAGGATGTCACATTAGCTAGGTTATATTTTGATAACTATCTAAAAGTTGAGGATCAAGTGAACTCACCGGTAGAATTGCTAATGTTACCTTTGATATGTATAAAGTTAAATTCTCAACAGTGAAAATGTCGTGCTTTTCTATATCATTACTTCATTGAACTACTAGTCACTTCAGTTTAAGAAACCTTAAAACTCAAATACTATTTTGGAACAAGATTAATGATACGAAATAATAATAATAATAATAATAATAATAATAATAACAACAACAATAATAATAATAATAATAATAATAATAATAATAATAATAATAAATGGCGGAAACTGGTTCGGCATTCGGTCCTTATTTTTTCACATCCTTTTCATAGAAATTTCATTCTATACTTTAACTAAACAATGATTTGCAGTGCTACTATAGTTTAGTTTAATTAACCAGAATGGATCATCAAAACAAATACAGTAGGAAATCAAATAAGTGTAATGTCTTGTCTCTTGCTGTAAACAATTGGTACTGCAATGACTATCTCCTCTCTCTTGTTGTGCTTCACCTCCATGAACAAGACTGAAATCTCTCTTCCAACAATACCCAACTGCAAAATTTGACCATTTTGCCTTGTAACAGAAGTCGCGATTCCATTTACCTTCAAGTGGTTGTCTCAACGAAAGTCTTAGGACGGCTCATAAAGACCCAACATATGCCCATCCACACACCTCAATGCAGCAACCTACAAGAGCCATCTACAGTATGTGAATGTTGGTGGAAAATAATGCTGATTGCAGCACGAAACTCCGAATCAATATGTAGACAACAAGCGTAAACCAGTAATAGATTGCCGGTTAACAACTATAAGCAAATCACAGAGATATGAACCAATCCAAATAGCAATAACAGCTTTATAACATAGGAAAGAAACTTGTGCCCGTTCAACTTATAATGGTTTAGTGCAGCATATCAAAGTTCACATTCTATGCTAGTTCACAGCAGAATTTGCAATCTCAATTTATGCTAAAAAATGGAAAAGAAAAAGAATGCCAGATTGGTGAAACAGAGTAGCACGGCTAGCAACTAAGATGAATAGTTCAGATTATTCAGTAATAATATTAGTACAATAACAATCTAAAAGCGACGATAAGAGTAGAAGAGTAACCTTATGAAATTTTGGTTACCTTTCCATGGATTTCATATTTGATGGGGCCATCCAACTCAGCACCTAAAGCCAATAGCTTAGAAACTGAGTTATTTATATCAGCAACTGTAAAGGACAGGAGAGATGAGTATCCCTTCTGCACAACAACGTCACTGTAAAACTAAAGTTAGCAGCTAACCAGTTGTATGATGTTCAATAGCAAAAAAGACAGAATCACAAACAGAAAAACAAGTGACCAATTTATACAAACTAGTATTGTTGTTGTTGTAACCAAAAACAGATAATTGTCATAGTTAATGTGCCAGTTTGAGCTGCAGACTAAAACTTGAAACAATTGCACGCAACTTGTGAATTGGCTACTTAATGAAGTTTTGACAGAAGAACAAAAAAGAAAAAGGACCGTAGGGTCATAACAGACATTCTCGGCTCCTGAGATCATATTAAGATACAGATGATTGGATAGAGGAGCAATGACTTAAAATGCAACTGAATACAAGCCACAGAATACAGTAAGCAAATGATGTCAAACTACGCTACCATATGTTCAAATGCAAACTAAACAGAACTCTTAACGAAGCTGAAGGCATATCCAGGACTGTAAGGGTGACGCCGTAAGAGTTGAGGTTTATCATAACTCGACCTTTTCTTGACAAGTACAAACTCTATCAAATGGCAAATCATCCTTATACGCATTGAACTGCCCTTAATACTCTATCAAAGTAGATTCACTGAGTAGCCTTGACATCATTAAAAGAAATGATTGTAAGCCAACCTTGATATCATTAATCTACAATGCCTAGTCCAATAAAAGTTGATTTTATTATTCCTCCTCACAAACCAAACTTCCTGTTAGGATTGGTCATATGTTATTCCTTGATCAAAAGCTAGCATAGCAAATATTTAATTCACTATGATGTAAAACAAAAGATTTTCTATCCAATTAAGTCTAACTAAAGATATAATTCTTTTTTCTTAAAGTATATTAACCAATGATCTAAAAAGACATGCCCATAGCAAAATTACTAGCACATTAGGTAAAAAAAAATTTAATCGAGTCAATGTTAATCTCAAACATCATCAACCAAAGCTGCATTATTTTCTTTTTATGCAGCCAATTAAACACTGTATTATTTTATACCGGAACTAGTTATTCCAAACCATCAATCAATCGATCCCTTACAGCTGGTTCTAAAAGATCATAATCATATAGAGGATTAATCGAACAACTTATTACTATTTAACCCTTTTGGATGGGGCGAAACAGCTGCAATAGAAAAAAAAAATCCTGAAATTCTTAAAAACCAACTAACTTTCAAATCCCAGAACCAAAAAATGTGAACTTTAACACAACTTGATCAACAATCAACTGTTTGGTTTACTGGGTGTCCAAGAAAATGAAAAAAAAAAAAAAAACAGAAATTCTCAAAAACCACTAAATTGCAAATATAACCACACTAAACTACCCAACCCCAAAATACAAAATGTGAACTTTAACACATCTTGATCGAAATCAGCTGTCTGATTACATGGGTATCCGAGAAAATGAAAAAATACAGGAAATTCTCAAAAACCACTAAAATTTCAAATATAACTACACTAAACTACCCAACCCCAAAACCCAAAAATGTGAACTTTAACACAAATTGATCAAATAACAACTGTTTGGTTAGATGGGTATTCAAGAAAATTGGAAAAAAGGGAGATAAAAATAAAATGACCTGGGTGAATGCATGAGAGCAAGTTTGAGGGGCCCAGATTGGAGCTCGGCCCATCTATGAGTACAGACGTTAATGGTGAAATCTAAGCCCTCTGAGTAGAATCTTGCTGCTTTTGGTACGTCCTTGTGTAGCTGTAATACCCATCTCAACGATGCCGCCATTTTTACCTGTGAGCAGGGTTACTTATGGAGCCAATATTTATGGTTAACGGTTCAGCTTATGGTTATTGGTTTTTAGATGTAGTAATCTGTTAGCCAATCGGACTATTCCGTATCTGATTAGCAATTATGGGACGGTTTATCGGCCAAATTAAAGAGACAATAAAAATAAAATCAGTATACTCTACTTATAATCAAACAATGCAATTACTTCATTGTTCTTTTCTTACTTTCAAATGTTAGTGAAATTCAATGAATTCTCGTTATTTCCTAAGAAGTGAATGAGGCCTTTAGGGTTTCTAAATTCTACTAATAGATATTTTATAGAAATGTAAATATAATAATTTTTAACGGGTTAACGGTTTATCGGATAAGGAAATTGATTAATCTGTCCCACACCATTAAACTGATAACTATAAAATTTCAATTCATTCACCCAACCGTTAATCCGACAACCCAATACTAATAAGCCAATTTTACGGTTGGCTTATCTGTTTACGATTTTGAACAGCCCTACCTGTGAGGATTTGCTCCTGAAATTAGCGGCCCAATCGGGTCGGGTCCGGTCGGGTCGGGTCGGGTCAGAAGAAACGGGTCTAACGTAAAAATGTCAATAAAACCTTGATGATATAAATGAAGAATTCAACGATTGAAAATGAGTGGTAAAAAAATGGAGAATGAGATATTTTTTTTATTGGAGCAATAATAAAGTTATCTCTATGTGACCTATAGGTTACGGGTTCGAGCCGTAGAAGCAACCATTAATACTTGCATTAGGATATGATATCTCCATCACAAGAAAAATTAGGGTAGACTGTCTTCTCCGGACCCGGCATGAACGCGGGATACCTTGTGCATCGGATTGCCCTTTTTTATTTTATTTTTCACATATGCGAAAATTAGCATACATAAAATTCCAAGGACATCACCAAGGGCATATTTTGCGTTTAAAAGCCATAAAACACGAATTTAGGACGATTCACAAATTTTAGTGTGCTCCACGGCACTGCATGAATTCGGGCGACCGGCCCCGACTCTCCAAAAATTTTGTGGACCCATAAAAGATGAACTAATGAACAAAAGTCTATCGCTTCGCCACGGTTGTTCCTCGTTTTTTGGCGTTTTAGGGCCATAAACAGGAAATCAAACAATTCCCAGATTTTCATGTGCTATAGTCCACGCTATTTGCATGAGTTCGGGCGACCGACCTCGAATCTCCTAAAATTTTGCAGGCCTACAAAAAATGACCTAATGAACAAGTCATTGCTTCGCAATGACCGTTCCTCTCTTTTTGACGTTTTAGGCCATAAAACAGAAATTGAAGACGATTCTCATATTTTGGTGTGCTATAGTCCACGCCATATGCATGAATTCGGACGACCGTCCCTCAATCTCCTAAAATTTTACGGGCCCATAAAAAATAATGAACAATAGTCACCCCTTCGCCATGACCGTTCCTCATTTTTTGACATTTTAGGATCATAAAACAGTAATTCAGGACAATTCACAGATTTTCGTGTGCTATAGTCCACGCCATCTACATGAATTCGGGCGACCGACCCCGAATCTCCTAACATTTTGCTGTTACCATCAAAAACAACATACAGTGTAATTACTACCTTAATACACAATCAAATAATTACAAAGCATAGTAATTATAATAACATGTTTTTTTTGTACACATGTGTTAAACATACAGATAAGGTCACTTCAAAACAAATCAATTATGAGCTAAAACTTGATACTTATATAGGCGAAGAAGTAGAAAAAAATATATTTATGCACTAGTATTATCAAATGATTTCAAATAGATGAGAAATCAAAATCAAATCTACTCACTTAGTTAGAGTCATTGTTTTACTCTTTCTATTTGCATGACTGTTTTCTAACGTTGAGTAGTCCGTGTTACTCGCATATCTCTACCCTATGAAGGAGCGACCAGATATAATTTGATCATTATGAAAAATCCAAAATCTTTATAGATAGAGTCAATCATAAGTTCCCAACTGCGGAGTAAATGGAATCCAATACGTAGATCAGCCAATAAAAGAGTAGAAAAAGTATGCCATAACATAATTACAATGTAATTTATGGTGTCATGTTTTTTTTTCACAAGTATAATTACATACGTAGTTTTTTTATTTTGAAAGTGTAACTACTTTCTCTTAATTAAACATAATTTCATGTTGTTCACTTAATTACTTGGTCAAACAGCAAAACTAACCTAAATTCAATCACAAAGTGGCCTTACAAAGATAAGATATTTTTAATTTGATCATAATAGTCTTATTCAAGCTGGTTTGCCCGAGTGGTTAAGGGGGAAGACTTAAGATCTTCTGCACACAAGTGCGCATGGGTTCGAACCCCATAGCCAGCAATTACTTAAAATTTTTTAAGAAGGCTTCTATTTCTGCTCTCCCGTGAGCTACACTTTTTTTTTGGTTAAACTAACTTGCCCGCTGATTTGACGATAGATTTTTCTTGTACTCAATATACCTTCTTTACCCGGGGGGGGGGGGGGGGGGGGTAAGGAGCCACATTGTAATTTAAAAGGATTATAATCCTAAACCCATAAGGTTCAAATCCTAACTCCGCCTCTTTTCTTTAATGGAAATGACATCAGGTAGCCACTTTTGAGCATGTTGTTTAAAATATATCAACAATTTACAATGTATTTAAAGATTAGCCAATTTGGCTAAAACTTCAAGGCACGCCGTCCTAGAGTTTAAACCTAAAGTTCAAACTAAGTAGTTCAGAAATTCAGGACCCTTAGTCGTGAATTTCAAATTAGCAGCTCAATAATTCAGGACATAGATTCAAGATACTTAATATTGAAGTTTGGGTGAACTGGCTAATCTTTAAATACATTGTAAGTTGTGGATATATTTTAAATAGCGGGCTTAAAAGTAATTATTGTTTCACTTCGCCCTTTTCTTTACCTTACATTGTCAGAAAATACAGTATCACTCTTACTATATTACCTACACCAATATGCAAATATATTTGCAATCAAAAATGAAGATTGTCCCCGTGAATTTCAACCAGGCTGGTTCTGATCATGTTTACTTTTACTTTTAAGTCAAATGTTTTTTACAAATCATCTTATCGACTCACATGCAAAAAGAAAATATAAAAACCTTCTAAATTTTTTATCTCTTTATCTTACTTTATATAGTAATAAATTAAGATGGACTTAAATGGAACAACATTGGAAAGTGATATTTCGTAGCTGACCTCAACTTATTTGAGATCAAGGCGTAATTGTCGTAACTTCAACATCTAACCGAAGCAAGTTCATCATTCCCCTAAAAAATTGCAACTCTATCAACATAACTCTGCTAGCTGAACAAAATTCGATGTCCTACAATGATTTTAAAAATGTTATCACTTTTTACTGTCTAACACAAGAAACATGAATATACAAGCAAAACAGAGTCAATTGGCAAGGTTGTATTATGATCAGTCTTCCACCATTTCTGTTTCCTCAGCCATTATGATCTCCACATCCCGGATATCTCGCTTCAAAACATTGCCAAGCCTAGCAATAGCCTCAGTTTGCTGTTGCAAAACCTGCCCAAATGGAAGATTTTCATTAGTCTACAGAACCACCGACACCCACCACTTGCAGTGATGTAGGCGATCAGACATGCACTAAAAATCAGAAGAAACAACACTAGTGGAAATTAGATGGATGTGATAGTAGAGTAGAGTCTGCTAAAACATCACAAATTTCAAGGATGTTCAACGATATGTCTGAGCTCACCAAATTCATCCAACTACAGAAGCAGGGCAAATTCATGATAGTAATTAAACTCTTCATTTTTTTTTTTCCTCTTCCTTTTCCCTCTTACCTAATTCGTTTTACATCTTGTTCACTGATAGTCCCTTTGCAAACCAGATACAATATCGAGTTTAACAAGTATCATGGCAGGAAAGTGATAAAGGCAAAGAGCACATTTTGGGTATAAGCCTAGAGCAGACCTGACATTCTCAATAAGGTTACAAAGTGCTATTACACAACCACAACTTACAGATAGTCATGAGGAACATCATTCAATAAGGTTACCTAATTCGTTTTACATCTTGTTCACTGATAGTCCCTTTGCAAAGCAAATACAATATCGAGTTTAACAAGTGTCATGGCAGGAAAGTGATAAAGGCAAAGAGCACATATTGGGTATAAGCTTAGAGCAGACCCGACATTCTCAATAAGGTTACAAAGTGCTATTACACAACCACAGTACAGATAGTCGTGAGGAACATCATTTAATTATTATAGATTTATAGCAGACAGAATGTTTTGCCCATACCTCCTGCATGTCGGCATGTAGAGGCAAAGAGCATATATCACACCTTATATTTTGGATAAATTAAAGCACATCTTACACTTGCCAATATGGTTACAAGGTGCGATTGGACAACCACAACTTACAGAAAGCCATGAGGAACATTATTTAATTATGTTGCCAACAGAATGTATTGCACATACCTCCTGCATATCAGCAAGACTCTGTTCATGAATTTTAGTTGAACCAGGGAGATAAACAGAAGCACCTCCAAGGCCATGTTGAACACGACATACAGTGAGCAGATTCTGAACCCTCCTAGAAAGCTCTGCTCCAGAACCTTTTAACTGTAAGTAGTGTCTGTTTCTCAGAAGTCTAGACAGCCAAAAAGCACTCAAGAAGATTAAAAGACTAGGCTACTAACCTGTCTAGTGATGGCAGCCAACTTCTCTGCCAATTCAGCTTCTCCTTTCATCAAAGGCAATCGACAACCTTTACCTTCCAGTGCCTCTAGTATTCTCATTACCTGTAGTTCAGGCGAGCAAGAACAACAGTATAATAAGCATAACTGCAGAACCTAATAGTGCAAACAGGAGTCTTGCATAATTATTTTAATGGATACAAAAATCAGGATGGTGGTGATCCTTGACCATTATTAAAACGACACATTTCACAGATAGTATGCTTAGCTAATTTGGTTTAAGCAAATGACAAATTACCAATCACTGCTAAAGAGAAATGTACGAGTTTTTACTAATAGAAAATTAAGATTATAAGAAAGGCCAAATAAGAATCGCACCCTTAAAAGGCGTCTTTGAAGACCTTGCTCTTTCTGTCTCATTCTTTCGATCCAGGGAAGGGTATCAGCTTGGAAATGCCTTTGCAGCTGCATTAATTGAAAGTCAAGCCAGCAAGGGCAGCATAATGCACAGACAATAGAAGACACTTAATGGGACACCATATGCAGGCACACAATAAGAGAGGAGAAAGG